ATGTATGTATGTATGTATGTATGTATGTATGTATGGATGTATATATGTATGTATGTATGTATGGATGGATGGATGAATGTATGTATGTATGTATGTATGTATACATACATATATATATAATATGTATATTTATATATATATATATATATTATATATATATATATATATATTATATATATATATATATATATATTCACACACACACGCATATATATATATATATATATATGTACATATATATGGATATTTATTCACACACACCCACATTTATATGTATATATATTCACGCACACACGCACATATATATATATATTTATATATAGTTATATATATATATATATATATTTGTGTGTGTGTGTGTGTGTGTGGACTTATTTTCATAGAAGTCTAAATCTTTTAAGTTCTATAACTGTTCACGTTTCCAAATTTCTATTGGTATATGAATTGACGTTTTACAGTTTCTCCGTTGTTCTCCGGGATAGCTGGAAATGCATTATATTGCAGTAGTCAAATGAACTTTTCTCGTACGTAAACCAATGGGTCTTTGACTAGTATGTATATACAGTGTGACTTCCCGTGCGTGTCTTGTATCAAACGATGCCAATCAGTTTACCTAGGTATCGATTTATCGTATCGACTTCGATTTCGATTTGCTTTGAGCTTTCAGCTGTGCATACCTTAGTAGTATTCGCAATCGCAATATTGTTCTCTTTGTAAACTGATGTATCTCATCTTGTATCTGCTGGTTTTGTTGTTTCGGTAGGATGGTGGCCCAATCACATTGCCACTGATCTCCAAACTCGCGGCGCTCAAAATCGAGGACGATCAAAAAATCGCCCTGAAAAAAAGCGCCGCGCCAGAAATGGGCGATGACGATATGAGGATAGATGACTCTGAGGTGCAGGACGAGTTTATGATATCGGGGAAGCAAACTGATGCGCACACAATTGATGTGGGCCATTTCTTCGCGGAGGCTCAAGGCGATACACGCAGTCTGGTATGGAGAGAGTGTGCCACTGGTTTTGTGGGTGGTTCGACAGTAAGATAGTCTATTGCGTACAGTTATTGTGGGAAGTTTCTTCCCCGAGGCATAGGGCGATAAACACAGACTGGTATGGAGAGAGTGTGGCCCTGTTTTTGTGGATGGTTTGGTGGTAAGAGAGTCTTGTACGTACAGCGGATGTTTTCACTGCCGAAGCACTGTGCGATACTCGCTTTCTTGTATGAGGAGAATTGGGCACTGTTTGGTATTGCTTTGATAGCCAGATAGCTCGATGGTGTGATAGTTAGATTGCCTCGTATGTGCAGTTGTATGAGGGTTTCTTTTGCGGAAGCACTGTGCGAGGCACGGCGTCTGGTATAGCGTTCCTTGTCTGGTATAGCGTTCCTTGTCTGGTATAGCGTTTCTTGTCTGGTATAGCGTTTCTTGTCTGGTTAGCGTTTCTTGTCTGGTATAGCGTTTCTTGTCTGGTATAGCGTTTCTTGTCTGGTATAGCGTTTCTTGTCTGGTATAGCGTTTCTTGTCTGGTATAGTGTTTCTTGTCTGGTATAGCGTTTCTTGTCTGGTATAGCGTTTCTTGTCTGGTATAGCCTTTCGTGTCTGGTATAGCGTTTCCTGTCTGGTTAGCGTTTCTTGTCTGGTATAGCGTTTCTTGTCTGGTATAGCGTTTCTTGTCTGGTATAGTGTTACTTGTCTGGTATAGTGTTACTTGTCTGATATAACGTTTCTTTCTGTATTTATGGACGGTTTGGTAGCAAGAGACCCTTTGTTGGCACTCGTGATGTGGGCAATTTCGTTACAGACGCCCAGAGTGACACACGCAGAAACAGTCTTACTTTTTTCTTTGCACCACTACGGAGAAGATGTAGCATATATCGGCGTTCACTGAATTTCTATCTCAACCGTGTCAAGCATATGTTTGTGTTGGCTACACACAACTTCATTCTCATTTAATAATATCTCTCGTATGGTAGGCTGAATCGCGGCGGTTGGTGTTCTTCCAGTTGCCTAGCAACCTACCGGTGGATCCCGCCGCTCTAGTCAAGCCTGTCGTTGAGTCAGAGGTACCAGCTGTGCCCGCAGCAGCACAGCCAAAGACAGAGGTGTGTTGTATTGTCAGCTATAACCGTGTATGTATGCGTCCACGCTTATAGATAGATACCTTTCGACGTAGGTATAAATCTGTGTGCGTGTATTCGTGTATGCGTGTATGCTTGTACATAGGTGCCATTTGATACAATGATCTTCGAGTTCGATCCTTGCAGTATCTGCGAGGAAAGATGCACTATTAGAGTGCCCTCGTTGCGTTGTATCCGGTGGGTGCGCAAAGATATGAATACATATCGATTCATATGTATAGCTTCCGCAATTCAGATACCTTTATTTATCTATTATATCGTATACGTAACACTCCACCATCATTATTTGTATCGATCAGTGCATTGTTTATGATATTTTGTAAACCTACACAGGCGAGGCAAATTGAGTAGATTCAATCTACATCTGTACATTCAACTTATTGCCAGTAGAATAATGCTCTGGGGAGCCTAAATGACTCAATCGACCTTGCATTGTGGTTTTATTATATCTTGGTACACGCTATATTCGTTTGCCCGACGATAACTGCACCCAGCACAACACCACTTCGTGCGGCCCCTGTGCTATCACCGGTATTCAAAACTGTCGCCTATACCAGTAGGCATCAATTGTTAGTGTATGTCACTTCCACACAACAACCCTTTATTGGGTGCCTTCCGAATGATGCATCAAAGTGTGTATATACTCATCCACGATCAAAGATAGCATTGTCACTCACCAACCAGCTTCCTTATCGTTCGCCACAGCCCTCCACGTCCCAAGCCGGCACGGCTTCAAAACCGGGAGTTAAACCGGAACAAGCCGGTAGTGCGGCCGCAACGGCAGCCAAGACCGGTGCACAGCCAACCGCACAGAGGGGTGCGGGTACAAAGGAAAAAGATGAGAAGTTCACAAGTTTACTGCCACAGTTGGGGTCTGGTCCCATGGGCAAATTACGGATACACCGGTCAGGCAGGACGACGCTACAGATGGGAGAGGTTGCGCTTGAGGTATGTATGTAAACGCAAACGCACGTTTTCGATCACTACAGGGCGTGTACGGCACCTGTGTGTCCGAATATGTACGTTGGGATGGCTGAAATGCCCTGTGTCGTCTGACCAGTTGAGGTAAAACTAATGCGACTTGATGCATGTATTTGATATGTGGCCTTACACAAACACTTGGTTCGCAATATCGAAGCGTATTGCTGATATGCATGGTGGTAGTGGGGGCCATGCAACAGAACAAATATATCACCATTTATTGTGGGGTATATTGTGCCGGTACACTTGCATCTGGTGAACGGATTAGGGTTACAGATAAGTTTAAGTCACTCTCATAGAACTGGTGTACGATCCCATCAACATCATGACACTTTGCAATCTGTAGTGCAATGGACGTGTGTGGGTTTAATGATATTTGTTTCAATGTAGAAGGGTCGTGTCATACCACACGTACTGAGTTGCTTATTGCAGCTCAGCCTTGGACAGTGCATCATGGCTATGGATATCTCAAACAAGACTCACTCGGGCAATTATATGACTGTATTAGTCGTCCGGAACACCAAGAGTGCTGAGATGCGTGCGAAGTATAGCCATCTATTTTCAAACACACAATATCAAACTGCACTGCTCCACCCAATCTATCTTTTAAACAGGTGAATGCGGGAACACAATGTGGGTTTTTACAAACGGTGGCTGCCATCAACCAGGACTACCAACAATGCGTTATGTTCGGCGATATCATGGCGCGGTTTGTGTGCTCGCCTGACCCCTCGACACTTCTACAAGACTCGCAGAACAAGAAGAGTGTATAGCAGTAGCAAATGCGCTCAACGTATGCTTGGGATGATATATATAGAACCGCACGGAGGAAAGCATACAATAGTATACAAATTGCTTAGCGATGCTTACTATCAAATATGATTTTAAGAGTATATAACTGTAAAAAAAAGTGCACAATGTATGCTGTTAAAATCTTGTTCGAAGACGCGGATAAGAACAGTATATATTATTAGTATACAAATGTGCGTCAGGTCTGTCTAAGGTCTCATATGAGTCGACAAAAGTACTTGCGCCATAATTTAGTACTGTACAGAGAATAAAATGTAGGTGCTTTCTCGCACAATAAAAGCATACATGGCTGTATATGTACTAGAGTATAGTCGGCGTTGCAAGCATGTATGTGGGTACTTTCATGCCTGCGACCAGCCCAGTGCTCCACACCAGGAGCTTGTGTTTATAAAGATCGGGAACTCCCCGGAAGCATGTTTGCCTTCATCAAAGGCGAGTGACAATTGCAACATAACACGCATTGCAACAAATTACCAGTGTTCCAATTACTGAAGCAAATTTTAGGCAGTGATAGTTTGTAGCTGAGCTGCGTCGATGAAGGGATAGACTGTGTCTCGAGAACGTATATCATCTGTAGCGCTCTGATCGCCCTTTCGTTCGCCGTATTTAATACCTTGGAAACACAATATCGCTTCGCTGTGCACTTATTTCTGAGCAAGGAGCATATCTTCCCTTAATCATATTCTTACTGTCGCGTTAGGCTGGATTTAGACATGCTGTACTTATGCTGGAACAAATAATATACCACTTATTTAAACACTGCAATAAAATCCGATGGAAGCTTGGTACGTAAATTATAATGATCGAAACAGCTACAGCTAGAGAAATACCGCGCGTGCACACATCCGAAAAATCGGTAAAAACTGCTCACTTAGGGCCGCGCAGAACTTCTCTGTGATAAGCTTGCTTGTCATTCAGATAGTTTTTGATACTTCAGCCTATGATAGTTTTTGATACTTCAGCCTATGATGGTTTTTGATACTTCAGCCTATGATGGTTTTTGATACTTCAGCCTATGATGGTTTTTGATACTTCAGCCTCTGATAGTTTTTGATACTTCAGCCTATGATGGTTTTTGATACTTCAGCCTATGATAGTTTTTGATACTTCAGATAGTTTTTGATACTTCCGCCTATGATAGTTTTTGATACTTCAGCCTATGATAGTTT